TGCTGGCTTTGACTGGAATTTAATAGACTTTCCACAGCATGTGGAACTTGCAAAAAAAGTTCATTCTCTAAAACCAGCTCAGATGAACCCTTTACCAATCTGGTGGTTGCTGCCACTGCCTTTAAACAATTAGGATATGCCTTAGCTATTGCAGGCCATAATATGTGATGGGCCAATGTTTTCCCAGCTATGTTCTTATGTTCTTTTTTTTGGGAGGGGGGGTGGGGATGGAGTTTTGCTTTTGTTGCCCAAGCTGGAGTCCAATGGTGCAATCTCGGCTCGCTGCAATCTCCGCCTCCCGGGTTCAAGTGATTCTCCTGCCTCAGCCTCCCAAGTAGCTGGGATTAGACATTTGCCACCATGCCCAGATAGTTTTTGGTGTTTAGTAGAGATGGGATTTCACCATGTTGGTCAGGCCGATCTCAAACTCCTGACCTCAGGTGATCTGCCCACCTTGGCCTCCCAAAATGCTGAGCCAAGTTGGTTGTTGAGTAAGAACTCCTAATGCCTGATTGTTTATGAACAAATAAGGTGAAGGGTTCAGTATAATTTGGAAACCCTCGAGCGACCATATCTGTTACTTTCCATCCTGGTTTATGTTTCTTAATTAAACTACGAAGTTCTGAATGAAGTCCTTTTTAAATAGAGCAGTTAATGCCATTTCTGTCCCTTCAGGTTTTCACAAGTAGTGTTTCTAAATGAGCTCTATAATCTGAAACTGCTTCATCTTTCTTTTGCTCTCAAGATTATGTGATTGACCAATCCATTTTTTTGTGGAAAAACCTTACAGATTGAATTTAAAAGATTTTCAGCAACGCTTCTAGTTCCTTTTGGCCCTCCTTTGAGGTTTTGGAGTGGTCTTTGATATCCTGGGGTTGTTTCCATTCTGCTCCTGCCATCCATTTTCGAGCTTCACCAGGTCCCAGTATCATGTGAAGAAATTGGTAACGATCAGGGAGTCCTGGATCACAAGCTCCTATGAGGATTCTCAATTTCTCCGTACATTTTTTGAGTGTTTTCTCTTGGATTAGTTAAGTCTTTATGATGGCTCTAAGCTCAGCTTTATAGACCTTGGAGTAAAAGTGGTTACAGCAGGCAGGGCTCCTTGGCTAGAGAATCTCACTTTGTAAGGCATTTACCAACTTGCCCTTTTTCATTAGCCTCAAGGAGAAGAGGTAATTGAGCAAAAGGGTTATGCTACCCTCAAGGAAAGAAGAAAAAGAGGAGCAGTTGGGGTTAGTGTGCTGCATGAGCCTTTGATTTGTGTTTTGTAAAGAATCTTAGGGAGGCAATTTTAGATTTGTACAATCTTTGAGATGCCTCTACATACCAATCTAAAATGCATCCCATTGGTTTTGTGGAATTTTGGACCATTTCTTTTCTAATGTGCCCCACAAATAAACAATTTTGTTTAAATTAAAATTTCCTCATTGTGGCCATTTTAATTCTAAGTTGTTTCTAGTGAGGTTAGAGTGTTTTTCTAAAAACAAGTTCTGGGTTCATAATTTTGGGAATCTTTTTTCTTTCTTTCTTTACCCTCCCTCCCTCCCTCCCTCCCTCCCTCCCTCTCTTCCTTCCTCTCTCTTTTTTTTAGTCTTACTCTGTCACCACCCCCAGGTTCAAGCAATTCTCATGTCTCAATGAGGATCTTATTTCTTTCTATTTTCTTTTCTTTCCCCTCCCTCCCTCCCTCCCTCCCTCCCTTCCTTCCTTTCTTCCTTCCTTTCCCTCTCTTTTTTTTTTTTTGTACAGTCTTACTCTGTCACCACCCCCAGGTTCAAGCAGTTCTCTTTCTTTCTTTCTTTCTTTTTTTTGTTTCTTTTTTTTTTTTTTTTGAGACCGAGTTTCGCTCATTACCCAGGCTGGAGTGCAATGGCGCGATCTCGGCTCACCGCAACCTCCGCCTCTTGGGTTCAAGCGATTCTTCTGCCTCAGCCTCCCGAGTAGCTGGGATTACAGGCACGTGCCACCATGCCCAGCCTCGAGCCACCGCGCCCAGCCTCAAGCAGTTCTCATGCCTCAGGCTTCTGAGTAGCTGCAATCACAGGCATGCACCACCACACCCAGCTAATTTTTGTATTTTTAGTAGAGGGTGTTTCGCCACCTTGGCCAGGCAGGTGAGGTGTTCTGCCCACCTCGGCCTCCCAAAGCATTGGGATTATAGGTGTGAGCCACCACACCTGGCCTCATTTTGTTTTTTGAGATAGATTGTTGCTCTGTCACCCAGGCTGGAGTGCAGTGGTGTGATACTGGCTCACTGCAACCTCTGCCTCCCGGGCTCGAGAGATCCTCCCACCTCAGCCTCCCAAGTAGCTGGGACTACAGGCACACACCACCATGTCCAACTAATTTTTGTGTATATGTATTTTCTGTACAGATAGGGTTTTGCCGTGTTGTCCAGGCTGGTCTCAAATTTGTGACCTCAAGAAATCTTCCGGCCGGGCGCGGTGGCTCAAGCCTGTAATCCCAGCACTTTGGGAGGCCGAGGCGGGTGGATCACGAGGTCAAGAGATCGAGACCATCCTGGTCAACATGGTGAAACCCCGTCTCTACTAAAAATACAAAAAAAAATTAGCTGGGCATGGTGGCGTGTGCCTGTAATCCCAGCTACTCAGGAGGCTGAGGCAGGAGAATTGCCTGAACCCAGGAGGCGGAGGTTGCGGTGAGCCGAGATCGCGCCATTGCACTCCAGCCTGGGCAACAAGAGCGAAACTCCGTCTCAAAAAAAAAAAAAAAAAAGAAATCTTCCTGCCTCGGTCTCCAAAAGTGCTGGGATTATAGGCATGAGCCACCACAACCAACCCCATAATTTTTATATATAAAATTAGCTGGAGTCCCAGAAGGTGGAGTCCCAGACTTCTTGGATTGAAACAAGCCCATTATCTATCTGTATCCATCCAGTTAATTAAGGGATTCAGTCCAATCCAGGACCCAGTCCAGTAAAAATTGCTCAGATAAACTTGGAGAGCTCAAAGCACAAATTCATGGAGCTCAGAATCCTAGAAAGAACTCACTATGATCTCCAGTTGCTGTGAGGGATCAGTGGGCACAATAGACCCTGGCAGATACCTCTGTGTGGTCACTCAGTGCTCCTGGAGGTTACTGAAGTTCTATTTTGGATCTCACTTCTGATACCAATTTGTTAAAAGAAAATTTTTATAGACAAGTTAACAGTTTAATTGAGCAGAAAAGGGTTCATGAATCAGGTGGCACTCAGGACCAAGAGCAATGGTGCAGAATGTGTGCAGGCTGTATTTATAGGCAAAGAAATGGAAAAGACATAGAGATAGTCCGATTGGCTGCAGGCTGGCATTTTCCTTCTTCAGACATGTTTTGGCAGCCTTCAGCCTATGATCGGCTGACATTTGGCTACTTTTATTACAAGAGTATACTGTTAGATTAGGTTGCAGGTTGTTTACACATTAAGTTAGGTTATAATTTACTATGTACAGAGGCAGCTTTAGACCAGACTTAATTTAACAAAGGTCACCTTTGGAACCAGCATTAATTGTTGAGGGGTCCTTTTTTACCCAATTAAGATCTGCCTGTGTCTAATATTTTTATGTAGAACAGTTTTTTGTTTTGTTTTGTTTTAAGATGGGGTTTCACCATGTTGGTCAGGCTGGTCTTGAATTCCCGACCTCAGGTGATCCACCCGCCTTGGCCTCCAAAGTGCTTGGATTACAGGTGTGAGCCACCGCACCCAGCCTGTAGAACAATTTTTAAAGTCAATTGTGGGAGGTAAACTTGAAGAATAAAGTCTCATTATGTCAACTTGAGTTGCTTTTATCAAGACCACTCTCAAAACTTCAGGTCCCAGCAGCACACTGAGGGCACTAAAGGTCCAGCATGCCACCGCTCTCCAATACTGGTACAGAATGTAAGTGTCCTAGAGGCTGTGGGTTGGTGGTCAACAGCTGTGCTCCTCTGGTGGGGCTGCTGGCCTGTCCCTCAGTCACAGTGCCATGGTGCTCATCTGCTTTGGTTTCTACCACATGTAGACTGGGCAAAGTGGGTGAAAAGGCCTTACGAACCACAGCCTGGCTGTGTGGTGCTCTTAGCCACCTGCTTGTGAATAGGACTTTGTGATTCAGGAGCCAAGATCATCTGCTCTTGGGAACCAGTCCAGTCACCTGGAGCTGCTCAGCTCAGAATAATCTAGCCTGGATGATACTGTGTTCCCCCCGCTGCCTCAACCCAACAGCTGCCAACCTAGCTGAGCTTGGGAACAGAGTTAAATGTTTGGGCAGCCCTCATGTTCCAACAAAGATGGATGGAGGGAAGGAAGGCTGTGGACCTGAGGGAGTGGTTGGCACAAACCATGCAGAGTGTCCACTGCTCTCATGGAAGTCTTCACTACACTTACCTGTTGAACCTGTGCCTGGTCACTCACCTGGCACTGGGGGCTTTTGTTCTTAAGTAACTCAGATAAAGCTATGGCTTCTCATTTTCCATTCTCTGACCTATTACCATCCCTTTAAGAGAGGCCACCAGAGATGGCTTCCTGGGATGGGTTGAGGAGGGAGGATCACTTGAGCCCGGAAGGTTGAGGTTGCCTCTGCAGTGAGCCATGATCATGCCATTGCACTCCAGCCTGGGATGCAAGAGTGAGACCTTGTCTCAAAATACCTACAAGACACTCACATAGCCTGGGGGTGGAGGATAGTGGTAGGGAAGGCTTCCTAAAATTCTTTCCTCAACTGGGTAAAGGAAACATCTCAAGGGACCCACCAGCCCCCAGCCTAGAGGTAGGACTAGCATGGGCAAGGCAGGCCCCTTCCAAGCAGTCCAGGGTTCTCAGCGAGCTTCTGTAGAGAGTGAGAGGAACTGCTGTGTGGGAAACAGAGGCAGAGAGGGCAATTGGGAAGAGGCCAGAGGCCGTGCTTAGAAGGGCATGTGAACGTAGCACTTACTGACAAATAGGATGGCCTCAGCCGTGGTAGAGGTGGTTTTCACTGGGCAGACCCGGGGTTTGGCTAAGAGCAGAAAATACAAAATCATCAGAGAAGTAAAATATCTTTATTTTCTTATGTAGAGACTATATTCAAATAAACCACCCACCCTGAAAACAGCAGGTTCTGGCTTTTCCATGAACCCCCAGAAGAATATAAATTAGAGCCTCGATAACAGTTCCTTCCCCAGAGTGGGAAGTATGCATTCGTGTGTGGTGTGTGTGTGTAAAACCTGATTCCACGGGATCTGGCCAGCCCCGCTGGAGCCACACAGCCCTCCTTGCCTTACACCCTGACTCCAGCTTCGGGTCTCTTCCCTGATCCAGGGAGAGGCCTCAGCCTGGGGCAGGTGTGATGTAAACCAGTCACTCAACCTCCATCTTATTCTTCTGCAAAGAATCGAGGAAGTCTTGCCACTCTGCTGGGTAAAAGCGTTTATAGACATTGATCTTATTCCGAATCTGTTTTGGGGTGTCTTGATAGTAATTCTTCTCATCGCGAGCCATGGCCTAAGAAAAGAGAAGGGCTACTTTAAAGAGGGCTAGACAGGCAAAGGCTCAGATCCCAGGTCATCCTGAATTGGGCAGCCATTTGCTAACTATCCCTGAGGTCCAGAATCCTGACCTCAAAGGCTGTAGTGCACCAAGCACAGTGGCTCGTGCCTATAATCCCAACACTCTAGGAGACAGAGGTGGGAGGATCGCCACCAAATCAGCCCAGGAGTTCCAAGGCACCCTGGGCAACCTGTCTCTCTCAAAACAATAACCATCTTGTGGTCCCAGCTACTTGGGAGGCTGAGGCAGCAGGACTGTTTTATCAGCCCAGGAGGTTGAGGCTATGGTAAGCCATGATCATACCACTCTGGGTGACAGGGCAAGACTTGGTCTCAAAAAAAGACCAGGGAGGCCCGAGAGTCCAGTGGGTCAAGGAGCAGTTGGGGCCAGCTGAGGGGCTCGTGACCCATCATAGCCAACTAATCCCACCTGGGCCCAGGGGTCCCATGCAGCCAAATCTTTACACTGTTAAAGGAGGCCAAAAATACAGACTTTCAGCCTGGATGACAGAGCAAGACTCTCAAAAACAAACCAAAAAGAAGGTGATGCAAGCAAAACATTTATCTGAGAGTGAGAGAGGAACCAAGGCCACTCAGTCTGTCCTGGCCATGAGCCGTTCGTTCAAGTTTGGTCACTGTCGATGGGACCGTTTCCTAGAGTCTCTTTTTCCCCCTTTCTTTGCACTGTTTCAGGAAACAGTTGCCGCACAAGCAGATCAAGCCGCGAATGGTCCAGGGCGCCTTCCCAGCCAGCCCAAGTGGCCTGAGCTGCTCACCTTGTAGTCCTCTCCGTGGTTCTCCACCATGTAGCGTACGTAGTCGATGAGGTCCCGAGACAGAGTATTTCCTTTCTTTTCTGGAAGGCTGGCTTCTGCCTCCAGGTCTGGAGTGACGAGAGAAGCGGGGAGACAGGGAATGAGGCTTTGCTTTCTGTGCTCTTTGAGCTGTCCAATCACCCCTTTACCCACTCCCAAGCCGCAAGACTCACTACACCAACCACCTGGGGGTCTTTGCCTCCCCATTCCCAAATTCATTGCTGGAACCTTCTTCAGCCCCTTGGATCTCAGACTCCGTCTCCTATAACCCAATCATCTACCAGTATGCCAAATTTCTGAAAGACAAGTCACTTCTCTCTGGGCCTCAGGTGGGTTTTTAAGGAAGGTAACCAAATTAATAACTTCTACTTAGTGGCAGGTCTCAGGACAGAAATGAAGGCACACACCTGCCCACCGGACAGGGCTCCCTTCCAGCTATAAGTCTCTCAGAGAAGCTCTTGATGTATCATTGCAACCCATGAAATGGGACGGTCTAAATAAATTAGATCTAGAGCTGCCGGGACTGGGGCCTGAAGCCGGCCCAGCACCTTACTAGTGCTCTGTGGGAGGAAAAAAGCCAGGATGTGGAGCCAACTAAAGGCTTCACTTTTAAAATAGGCAGGCAAATCCTACTCCATTTCTCCTCTAGGAAGGAAGAGAAAGAGCTACCTCAGAAAAATGAAGTCATCAAATCATATCCAGGGATTAGGTCCTACTATTGTGTATAGTCAAAATTATTTTTGACATGGTTGCCAGGGGTTAGAGGTAGGGGAAGATGGGAAGTTATTTAATAGGTATAGTTTCAGTTTTGCAAAATGCAAAGGTTTTAGGGACCTGTTGCACCAAAAAATTAATGTACTTTATTCAACAGTACACTTAAAAATGGTTAGGATGATAACTTTCATGTATTTTTTAACCACAACTTAATATTTATTTTTTTAAAATGTTTCTCTTTGACTACAGTAAGTACACATGGCTTTTTATATATAATCCTGTGCAGTAATTCTTTTTTTTTTTTTTTTTTTTTTTTTGAGATGGAGTTTCAATCATGTTGTCCAAGCTGGAGCGCAATGGCACAATCTCAGCTCACCGTAACCTCCACCTCCTGGGTTCAAGTGATTCTCCTGCCTCAGCCTCCCAAGTAGCTGGGATTATAAGCATGCACCACCACGCCTGGCTAATTTTGTATTTTTAGTAGAGATGGGGTTTCTCCATGTAGGTCAGGCTGGTCTTGAACTCCCGACCTCAGGTGGTCTGCCGGCCTTGGCATCCCAAAGTGCTGGGATTACAGGCATGAGCCACCACACCTGGCCAAGTAATTCTTAAGAGAACCACTGAGATAAAGACAGGAACTAAATGAATTCTGTATCAAATGTCTGGCTATTCAAATCCTTTATCTTCAGGAGCTGTGTCAACTCCCTGAAAGGTAAGGGGAAGGAAGAATGAAGAATTCTAGAGTATTCCCACTTTCCTGTAGGGTTTACTCTCCTCTGTTTTAGCATCCACTCTCTGTAGCCTTAATATACATAAAATTGATTTTGTCATTGGAAACATTTATTGAGATGGTAGAATCTCTAAAAATCAGTTCACCCTTAAATTCAGGAGAAGCCGTACACATGCCTGATTTACTAGTTTCTCTTCTATTCTCCCAGGCACCTCGCTACCTTCTGAACATCTCTGACCTTAGTTCACATGGTAAGGTCAGAGTTTAGTCAGTAGAATGCAAAATGACCCAGCTGGGACCCAGTCCAAACTCTGTGAACTTATCCCCTCTTAACCTTGGTTTCTCCATCTGCAAAATGAGGATATCTTAGGGCCCTTCCCAGCTCCAACAGTGCAGGACAGTGACCTAAAGGAATATAAGGACCACACCCACCAGTCAGCACATAGGGCTTCCGCACAAGCTCCTTAGGCCTCTCCTCTACGTCCACCTCCATGACCTTCACCTGCAGAGAACAAAGCCCTTGAGACCAGGACCAGAAGGATCTTTGAAGGAAAGTTATAGACTCCTGCTTATCCCAACACAACTACGTAACCCATAAGAATCCCTGCCCAACGTTAGGCAGAAGTAGGTAACAATGAGAGCTAATGCCCTGGAAACTGCTTTCTCTCTCTCTTTTTTTTTGAGACAGAGTCTCATTCTTTTACCCAGGTTCAAATGCAGTGGCACAGTCTCGGTTGACTGAAACCTCCTCCCGGGTTCAAGCAATCTCCTGCCTCAGCCTCCCAAGTAGCTGGGATTACAATCGTGTGCCACTGTGCCCAGCTATATTTTGTGTTTTGCCATGTTAGCTAGGCCAGTCTCAAACTCCTGGCCTCAAGTGATTCCTCTGTGCCTTTTTTTTTTTTTTTTTTTTTTTTTTTTTTTGATACGGAGTCTCACTCTGTTGCCCAGGCTGGAGTGCAGTGGGGCGATCTTGGCTCAATGCAACCTCTGCCTCCTGGGTTCAAGCGATTCTCCTGCCTCAGCCTCCTGAGTAGCTGGGATTACAGATGCCTGCCACAACACCAGGCTAATTTTTTTTTTTTTTTTTTTTTTGAGGCAGAGTTTCACTCTTGTTGCCTAGGCTGGAGTGCAATGGCATGATCTTGGCTCACCGCAACCTCCACCTCCCGGGTTCAAGCAATTCTCTTGCCTCAGCCTCCCGAGTAGCTGGGATTACAGGCATGTGCCACCAAACCCAGGTAATTTTTTGTATTTTTAGTAGAAACGAGGCTTCTCCATGTTGGTCAGGCTGGTCTTGAACTTTTGACCTCAAGTGATCCACCCGCCTCAGCCTCCCAAAGTGCTGCGATTACAGGCATGAACCACCATGCCCAGCCTTTTATATATATATTTTTAGTAGAGATGGTTTTGCCATGTTGGCCAGGCTGGTCTTGAACTCCCGACCTCAGATAATCTGCCCACTCTCAGCCTCCCAAAGTGTTGGAATTATGGCTCCCACTGTGCCTTTTACCCCCAACATAATCTTGTTGACAAGGACTTTGTGTTTTGTTCTCTACTAAATCCCCAGGGTGCTTAGGATGTGACATGTTATCAATAAGTAGTTAAACTAGTAAATGGGCTCGCTGAATGAATTTGTCCCATTGCCTTAGGCAAGTTTCTTTTTATTCTTTCATGGCAGAGGATAATGACACTACCATTTCTTGCATAAATGTGAGGCTACGGCCACACGGTTAGTTCCTAAGGCAAGGAGCGTTATACCCATTTTATAGATAGGCAGAGAAAGAGTAATTGCTTGCCTGTGTTCCTTTTGGGAACCTGGATTATTTTAACAGTTGCTGAAGCCTCCACTTGAGGCCGGAAGTTCGAGACCAGCCTAGCCAAGATGACGAAACCCTGTCTCTACTAAAAACACAAAAATTAGCCGGGCGTAGTGGCACACGCTTGTTTGTAATCCCAGCTACTTGGGACGCTGAGGGCGGAGATGGCTTGAGGAGGAGGTTGAAGTCAGGGAAGCCTCAGACCAAGGATGATTGAATAACTAAGAAAAGGTGTAAGTAAAGATCGCCAACTGTTAGGGAGTACTAATTAGGAGAGTTAGGAGTAGAAAAAGATAAATTATGCAAAATATCATTGAGATGCCAACGGGTTAATTTCAGAGAAAAAAGACTGAGTGGAGGGAGTATGGGGAATGTGCGCTAGGGAGGGAGTGTGACTAAGGTGGTAAGGAAACCCTAGATCAACTCGGGAAGGGCCTGAGGGAAGGAATGGGCAGGACCAAGTTCTGAAACCCAGGTCAGTATGGCGGGGGAGGAGTAAAGACGACAAAGGCCGAGACCCTGCCATGTCAGTACCTTTCTCTTACGGAGGGGCACCGCCTTGTTGGGGTCCACAGCCAACCCCATCTCGGCCAGGTTCTGCCGCACCGATTTAGCGTGGTCCCAGGCATGTCGGATGTGGGAGCTACCAGCAAGAGAGACATCGCGGATCCGTCATCTCGCGGGCCGCCCCGGCCGAGGCGTCCCGCCACCCGGAACCCCAGTCCCCTCACCACTCGATCCGCGGCGCTGCCTTCCGTCGAGCATTCCGGTTCAGGCGCTTTCGGTTGACATTGTAACCAAACTTCTGCCTCCGGGTCTTGCCCTTGGCCTTGGGCATTGCGCCGACCACCCCACCAGCAGCTCACACGCGGTGCCTCTCACTCTTAGACAGCGTGTAACAAACCCCTTCCGGGGGGCGTGCACAAGGCTTTGCGGGCATTTGGGGAAATGTAGTCCTTTCGTAGCACTTCCTGAGCACTACAATGCCCAGAATGCAACGAGCACTTGCGCCTGCGTACAACGTTCAATATATTCGTTTCCCCGCCCCTTTCATGACCTTCACCGGAAAGCGGAGCTCAGAGTCCCGATTTTTTTCCTGCAGCTGCGTGGCCCGGTCATGGCGACTCCCGGCCCTGTGACCCCGGAGGCCTCCTTAGAACCATCGAAGGCCCCAGTCATTGAGGGATTTAGCCCCACTGTTTACAGCAAGCCAGAGAGTTTCAAGGAAAAATTCATTCGCAAGGTCCGCGAGAACCCGCTGGTACCCATAGGTAAGTGGGTGCTGCAGGAGCTGCACACGGAGAGGACAGTGATGCCGGGGGGAAGGAAGTAGAGGAGGATCAGAGTGCCCGGGGGAGCGGAATGAGCGCGGACGGGAGTAGTGACAAGGGGGCGGGGCGGTGAGGGGCGAAACTGATTGGAGCGGGAGCAGCAAGTTTAGGGGGCGGGATTTGGGGCCTGAACCCGGGAGAACTCTAACTAGGAGGACCTTACCTCGACCAACCCTCTGCGCCCTCCCTCCGCTGTAGTCCAGAGATCTTGGCTTGGGGAAGAGAGACCCAAAGCGGGGAATGATTTGCGGGGCCCGGCCGGCTGTCTCCCAGTTGCTTTGTCCACTCCGCAGGTTGCCTGGCCACGGCGACCGCCCTCGGCTATGGCCTCTACTGCTTCAACCAGGGCCACAGCCGGCGCTCTCAGCTCATGATGCGAACCCGGATCGCCGCCCAGGGCTTCACAATCGCAGCCATCTTGGTGGGTCTAGTTGTCACCTCTATGAAGTCTCGACCATGAGCCCAGGGTCTGGCCTCGAAAGCTCCGCAGAAATCATTCCAGGAGCAACCACTGGCCCTACCATGGCACGTACTCCTTCCTCTCCTTTGAGCGCGCCCTGTGTCGTTGGGGGAGAAAGTGACCCTTTGTGTAACCCTGAAAAATGTTTTCAAAAATCCCAGAATCTGTTGTTTAAATGTTACATACTTCTTAGTTGTGCCACATCTCCCCTCCAGTCTGCTTAATAAAACTCTTAAAAATCCACTTGTAGTATGGTGAATTCAGTCTCACCCCCATGGTTTCAGGTCTTCGGCTTTGGAGGAAACAGACTTTAGACTGGAGTGGCACTTAGAAATCTTGTAGTTTAGCGATTCCCCAACTTTCCTAGTAACAGCCACCTGGGGCACTTTGAAAGTAGAGATTCCCAGATCACTCCTTGAGATTCTAGTTCAGTGGGCCTAGAGTAATGCTATTTGAAAAATACTGATCTAGCCAGCAGTTTTTGAAACTTTCAGTAGGACAACCTTCCTTCAGATGAGACCTCTCATAGTCCGGTCAGAGGCGGAGGGTTCTGCCTTCCACTTAGCACCAGCTCCTCACCCTGCTACCACCTCCCGAGAGCCTGTGGGGCGCCACTGATGTAGACCATACTGGTTCTTGACACAGTACAGAACAGGAAACAGGCTCAGAGAAGCAGTCTGGTACAGTGGAAAGAACACAGTCCCAAAGCTGTCCAGCAGTTTGTGTCTGTGGTGTTTTAGGGTTTTGGAAGAGGAGGCTGAGAACCTGAGCAAACTCCAAAAGAGTTCCTCCTTCACGTCAAGTCTCACACATGTATTCCTGGTCTGTGGTCAGCTCTCCTCCAATGTTGGATTTGAGGACCCAGGTTTTTCCCATGTGTGATTCTACTGTTTTCAACACCAGCTTCAAACTAGCAGAAGGAAAAGGGGGGAGCGAAGACACACCCCTTCTTGAACCCTCAGACAGTCTAGATTTCAGAGTGGAAGACTATACTAGGGCCAACTAAGTTTCTTGCCTCCACCATGTTCTCTCAACTGTGAGACAGATGGTAGATGTAGAGCGTGCACTGTGGTGACCCTTGGCCTCCAGATATAAGGACATGGAATAGTGAGGACTGTTTGTAAGTGGTGTCATGGTGTCCCCCTTCCAAAGCTGCTGAAGTTGTTTCATTTCCTTGGAATGTGACCGTAGGCTGGGTGCTGTGGCTCATCCCTGTAATCCCAGCCCTTTGGGAGGCCAAAGTGGGTAAATCACTTGAGCCCAGGAGTTTGAGCCCAGCCTAGGTGACACGGCAAAGCCCGTCTCTACTAAAAAATACAAAGATTGGCCAGGTGTGGTGGCACATGGCTCTAGTCCCAGCTCCTTGGGAGGCTGAGGTGGAAAGATAGCCTAACCCAAGGAAATTGAGGGTGCAGTGAGCCGAGATTGTGCCGCCACACTCCAGCCTCAGTGACAAAGCGAGACCCTGTTTCACAAAAAAAGAAAAAAGAAAGAATGAGTGAAAGATTTGGACACAAAGACATGCATAGAAGGTAATGTGCAGACAGCCGTCTGATGGTGGCAAGACTGGAGTGAAAGGATGCCTGAGGTACCAACAGCCAGAAGCAAGTGGAACAGACCCTGCCCCAGCCGCTTCAGAGGGAGCACGGCCCTGCCACCCCTGGATTTCAGATTTCAGGTTTCAAGGACTATGAGACAATAAACTTCTGTTGTAAGCTAGCTAGTTTGTGTACTTTGTTACAGAAGCCCTGCGAAGCGAATATTTACTGGCTATTACTCAAATCTTTTTAAACACCCTGCAGGTCAGGAATGTCCTGTTTGCAAACTCTGCTGAAGGGGAAGAAGGTGTGGTCATTGGTTGTTTATCCCAAATCCACAGATGGGCCCCGCTGATGGAGGAAGCGAAATATGCTGGGACCCTCTGCCTCCACATCCAGAGGGGTCCCAGCCAACCCTGAGGAAGGGAGTCTCGTGGGTCTTCGAGACTGTTACCCAGGCTCAGGAGGAAGCTCCAGTCTTGCTTTTCCCTCCCACTACAAGCCGCTTCCCCTCTGGGGACCTTGGTGTCCTTGGCTGTATGATGAGAATAACGGAATTTACCTCACAGACTTAAGGATCGAGGTTACAACAGCGTTCTACAAGAAGCTGTCTTTCCTCCTGGGGATCACAGACAGCTTGGGGCCCCCACTTGGCTGGGAAATGGGGAGACAGTCTCGCCTTCTCTCAAGACCATGAAGCTGGGAAGGTTCTAAGCACAAACTGAGCCCTGACACCAGTTGCGGCTTCCAGAGAAATGAGAATGATAATAAATAAGTGTAAAAAGAGTTAACAACACACCCTTTAAGCCAAGAAAAAAATACATCAGGAGGGACAGTCACAATTGAGTGGACTGAGAGGAGGCGTGAGGGACTGGACCATAGGGCTGGGAAGGAGTGAGGGGCGAGAGGCGTGAGGGTCCCCTCCCAGCCCCTGGAGATGGGAGGAGTGGAAGAGGCTGTGGGGAGCAGCTGCTGGGAATCTCCGCCCTGAACGAAGCAGCTGTTCCTCCTCTGCCCAGGCCCCGCCCATGCTCTGTGGCCATGCTATAGCAGGCACCTAGCGGGACAGTGGCGTCTGCTTCAGGGACATGAGCACCGAGCGCAGGCGGGACACATCTTTGCACTGCTTGCTGCTCTTGGGGTTGAAGTCACATAGCTGGGCCACCTTCTCCCACTCTGTGCCTGGGGTCTCCTCCTTGGATTCCTTCACGAAAGCCTCCTCGGATGCCCTGCGGGTGGAGATAGGAGAGGGGGTTTCATAGCTGCCCGCCTTTCCCCAGCCTTTCCCTTGAGCAAGGCTGCTTTGCCCAGCCTACTCTGGGGCACTTTTATCTAGAAGTCTCCCCACCAGCCCTGTGCCCCTCTGACTTCAGAGGAAAGCAGCCTTGGCACAAGAGGAAGCCTAGCTTGGTCCTGCTTCAGGACCTTGGCGCTTGCTATCACGTCTTCCTGGGACACACTTCCCCCAGACCTGCTCCTGGCTTACTGCTTCTTGTCATTCAGTTCTCGGTGCAGGCCCCACCTCCTCAGAAAGGTCTTCCCAGCCTAGGCACTCTGTTCATTACCTCCCCATCAGGAGTTCCCAACCTGGGGTTCCTGACACCTAAAGACCCTTGGTGGACCTAAAGCAGTACCTTAGCTATTTTCACCATTTCCAAAAACTTGGCAGAAGGACGACATTGACTAACCACCTAGCAGAAGCGCCTAGCTCAGCACTGCCCGAATGTTCTGTGTAAGTATTCTCCAGAAAGACTGGTCAAATACGTATGGAAAACTCAGCTAAAGAGGATCTTTATAGGAAGACTTTCAAAGCCTTTAATGTGCTGTGTGCATCGTGACCCTCCAAGGTGGGTATGTGATCGATATGGAATCCACCACATCCCAAGCATATTTGACTACAGAACACAAACAACCGTTTGTAGTCACGAACAACCATGATCACCGTGGAGCCACAGGCTGGGGAATGAATGCTCCACTGGAGTCTGAGTTTGGCTGTAAATCAAGTTAGGAAGAAAACTGGCGGTCCTTCATCAGAAGTGCAGGTTGACAGTTACAGAAGCCACTGACTACGGGGCAGTGGGGAAACAAGTAAATACAGTATAGTGGACAAAATCGAAACGTGGGACTCATTAAGAGAAAGACGATAAGGTATTCTTTGGTGAGGAGTGCTGGGTCTATGTCCTGTTTGGCCAGTGAGGGGCCCTCAAATTTCCTGAAAGCCCCCTCTGCATCTCGAGCAGGACCAGTTCTGCCGATGCCAGACGTGACTGATGGCAGGAGCTCTCCATGGAACAGCTGACCCTGGGAACAGGTGACCTGGCCCCTCTCTAGCGATGCTGGCTCCATGCTAATTTCCTAGCCTGTAAAATGAGGATCATATTGGGCCGGGCGCGGTGGCTCAAGCCTGTAATCCCAGCACTTTGGGAGGCCGAGGTGGGTGGATCACGAGGTCGAGAGATCGAGACCAACCTGGTCAACATGGTGAAACCCCGTCTCTACTAAAAATACAAAAAATTAGCTGGGCATGGTGGCGCGTGCCTGTAATCCCAGCTACTCAGGAGGCTGAGGCAGGAGAATTGCTTGAACCCAGGAGGCGGAGGTTGCGGTGAGCCGAGATCGCGCCATTGCACTCCAGCCTGGGTAACAAGAGCGAAACTCCATCTCAAAAAAAAAAAAAAAAAAAAAATGAGGATCATAGCTTTGCCCTACCAACTATCTCACTGGCCTGAGAATTCAATGAGGTAGCAAGCAGGCCTGGAAAAAAGGAAAGTGCTGTGTGGAGCTGGGTGGCAAGGGGCGCTGAGGGGAGCTATGCTCGGAGCTGCCCCTTCAGGATCCAGAGGCTCCTCTCTGTCCCTGCGGCTCAAATGTCCATGATCCAGCAACATCATTGCGACCATAGAGCTTGTCAGAAATGCGGACCCAAAGAGGAAAAAAGAAAAGAAAAGAAAAAAACGAAGAGGAAAAATATTAAAAAGATCAAAAAGAAATGTGGACCCTTGGGCCTCCCCACAGTCCTGCTGAATCAGAATCGGGGTTTTCACCAGACTGCCTGGTAATTCATAGGCACATGAAAGTTTGAGCCCGGAAGCAGTGGCTCACACCTGTAATCCCAGCACTTTGGGAGGCTGAGGTGGGTGGATCACTTGAGGTCAGCAGTTCAAGACCAGTCTGGCCAACATGGTGAAACCCCATCTCCACTAAAAATGGAAAAAATTAGCCGGGCATGGTGGCAGGTGCCTGTAATTCCAGCTACTTGAGAGGCTGAGGCAGAAGAATCACTTGAACCCAGGAGGTAGAGGTTGCAGTGAGCCAAGATCATGCCACTGCATTCCAGCCTGGGTGACAGAGCGAGATTCTTTTTTTTTTTTTTTTTTGAAACAGAGTTTCGCTCTTGTTACCCAGGCTGGAGTGCAATGGCGCGATCTCGGCTCACTGCAACCTCCGCCTCCTGGGTTCAGGCAATTCTCCTGTCTCAGCCTCCTGAGTAGCTGGGATTACAGGCATGCACCACCATGCCCAGCTAATTTTTTGTATTTTTAGTAGAGACGGAGTTTCACCATGTTGACCAGGATGGTCTCGATCTCTTGACCTCGTGATCCACCTGCCTCGGCCTCCCAAAGTGCTGGGATTACAGGCGTGAGCCACCGCGCCCGGGGAGATTCTGTCTTTAAAAAAAAAAAAAAAAGCAGCAGCAGCCATGATCTCTCC